ATGAACGAGTTGTTTTGTTCAGCTACCCGTGCCAAAAGACCGGAACTAATAGCATAGCACCGATAAAACAGGTCGGATTGGCCACAGCGGGATGGTTTTTTGATGAAATATGGCGAATTGAGAGGCGAACATTACGAATTGCAACTGAAGCTACTTTTAAGCGAAAAACTGCAGGTGTACAAGAAATATGTATTTAAGGAAATTAATTCCCGAATTGGGATTATTAATGGAAGAGGGGTTTAGTTTATAGGTCATTATCTAAGTGATTTGGAGAGGTATGAAACGTATTTTATATATAAAAATACTATGATTATTCAATTTGTTTAAACACTTTCTCACACATCTGGTTAGGATAAGTTTTTTTTTCTTTCTTTTTTAGTTTCTGTAGTAACTGTTACCGGTGTATCTAAAACATACGAAAACAGATTGTAGATTATGCATTTTATGTAGATTATGTATTACTCTGTGATCCCGATAGGTAAGATATTTACTTGAGGGATTAGTGCCCCTGTCAGCACAAGCTCTTCGATCCAAAATCTAAGAAAACCTGGTTCAAATCCCAGAATTATTCTCTCCAAGCCTCAAACCTTCCCTATATCCTCACCTTCTACCAATCCACATAGACCCGCGTAGTAGGTTTTTTACTATGGGAATTAAGACCAACAGTTTTCTGCAGCTCCAAAGTTGCATACACAAACGTACAATACCAAGATTATGTCTTCGGAAGGAAAAATTATAAAGCTCTAAGAAATTTTTTCAAAACAGCATTTCAAATTGGATATAACTGGTATTAGCGGGATGAGAATCCGTTAAAAGAACAATGCGCAGAAATAGAATAATACCAGAAAAGACCTAATAGTTTTAACATTAACTCTGTGTTACTAATATGGCTATTAAACAATGGAGGTTGCTGATAGATGTGTGAAAATTAAGGGTTTGTATGTATTGTTCAATCCCACATAATAAAGAAAAAAAAAATAAAAAAAATGTTTGAGGTTAACCACTTTTATGCTTCAGGGTTATAAAAAATAGATTATGACCTATTCTCAGACCTACCCAATATATGAAAAATTTTGTAAACATCGGTACAGCCGTTTCAGAGAGAGAAGGTTTCACATGCAGCAAAAAGGAACAGCATACGGTGTTCCCAACAGGTTACCCATCCACATTTTAACCGTAACCGACACTGCTTGACTTAAATGATTGAACGCCATATTGATTGAATGAATAGTATGGCGCCATCTCTTAGTTACATTGCGATTTAAAATGACAGAAAAACTGTTTTTGAAGTTTTTCCGTACAGTTTTCTTATCTTTTACAAAAATTTTCTCCTGATAACAAACACAACGAAAAAAGAATTATCTAAATTGGCGCAGTCATTTTGAAGTGATGCTCGTACAAATATTTCGGCGATTTCTTTTTATTAATTATAGAGATAACCCAGTCTAAGATCTTTCACCTCTTCTCAGCTAACAGTACTTTTCCAGTTAATCTGCAGAATCATTTAGTTTGTTCAACTATTACTAATCTGTGCAATTTACTATTTTAGTCAGTTTTCGATCCAAATACCCAAACCGAACGAATTTTGGGCGGAATTCTTACAGAAGCAAAACAGATGCAATTGAATTAGCAACGGCATGGAAAACTCGCGTGCTTTAGATGTTGATTTTCGGTTGCATCACTTGATTTACCTTACTAATTGGTGGTGAGCAACTGTGTGCACAGTTCCGTATATCCACTTCCCTAATTGTTTATTTAGCAGCCACTTCTTTGGAGTTTGAGTTCGTTGTTTGCCAAATGCACTTAAAGTATATTAGATGTAGGGAATTAGGGCAAGAGCGTGGATTTTAATACACACTCGGTTATATTTAGCTCATGAAATATCAATTTACTGGAAATTTCATAAGTGGTTTTTAGGAGGGAATTATATATTAGTTAATCTAGAGATAAGCGACAAAGTAAACAAAAGCAAAAAATATAAGTTTAGGTCTCCTTTCACATTTTTCTTCAAGCGTAATAAAAATTCATTTAGTATAAAAACTCAAACAATTGTTTTTTTCTTTATCATTCCCATTACCGCATATCCATAGAAACACACGTATAATGTCAGACGAAGAAACAAACACAATGTCGTCAATTTTATTTTTGGCACAAGTTTTCAGAAAGCGCTAGGAAATATCGAAACTAAGTTGTGAAGTTATTCAATCGATTGGAACGTATGTATTCCTAGACAGAATAAGATTGTAACCTCACCGATGCTGTGAGGTAGGAAAAAAGAAGAATTGACAGTGCAGAAATGATTAATAAGAACTGTGATTACCTTTCTTGTAGAGTATATATTTTGCAAGGGAATGCTTATAGTACACTACAATTATTAGAGGAAAGGAAAGAAAAGTAGATCGATATTGTCAAGGATGTGACAGTTAAATTAAAATACTCAGCTGTTACGTTAAAGTACAGGGGAAAAGTAAAAAATTCTCGGTCAGCTGAACCATTCCTAATATTTCACATTTTGTGTGTACTGTCATTTTTTTAACTAAGGAATTATTCACAGGGAACCGTCAAAGCAAAAAACAAAACATGACCAGACCTCGTGGAAAAAACCGAAGAAAAACACATCTATAATATATAAATAAACACTAAAATGTGCTTATTATCGACCTCAGCGACGCAAAAAGAATTGAAAAAATATTTCGATGTTCTAGTACGTACGATAGGAAATGAAATACATTGAAAATATAAAATATTCTTCGGTGTTTTAACATATACGAGGGGATTTCAATATATACCAAAGAATTTAAAATGCTACAAATTTCAAGGCACATTAAGTTCAAGAAGTTCATACAAAAGTGCCACAAAAAGTTAATGCTTGAGCTAGGATTGTTGGAAATCGGATAGTAGGTTCATAATTTTTCCATGTCAAGTTGAGCAGATGTTTACTTGCAGTAGATATTTTGACCTCATCCCAGCCAAAATAGCAGAGTTCGTATTATTTTATTGAGCTACCGCAATGTAATAAATAAAGCTTCTGTGTATCATAGAAACCGAGATATTGTAAATTTTTCAGTGCTCTTCAATTTGAAGTTCCTAACGGTGTCATCCTCCTTAATATGATGTTCGATAAGATTTTATATGCCGTCTAAGTAGGAGATGCCTAGGAGAGGAGAGGTAGAGCACTTGGTTTTGTTTCCCTTTTTATGGATGGGGATTATTACACTTTCGTGCCATTTTGTTGGCATTTCCTCTTCGTTCCATATAAGTGTTATTAGTTTGTGCATTTATCTATGTAGAGTTTCTCCTCCATACTTAAGGAATTCAGTCAGTATATTGTCAGTATATTATCTTTTCCGTTCTTCAATTTGTTAATTGCTTGCAATGTTTCATCTATTTTTTGGTCCTCTACCGGTAGGCCCACCCCAAAATATATATTTTTTGCAAGTTCTTCCTCTTGATGTATGTTTAATAAAGTCTTGAAATATTCTTGCCATGTTTGAAGCAGTTCTTTTTCATTTATTATTAATTCATCATTTTTTCTGAGTACAGACACGCATCTAGGTCTGAAGCCTTTCTTTTCGTTTGACACTGATTTGTAAAATGCTCGACTATTTGACTCTTTTCTATTCCATTCCATTTCTTCATATTTCTGTTGTTCGTACTTCCTTTTTTCTCTCTAATTAATTTTCTTGTTTCTCGGCCTGAAGTTCCAGGTTTCTAGTTTTCTTGACTTTCTGATGTTTCTTGTTGAAGCATAATGTTTCGCTTTATCTGTCTGTCGTGTAGTTTTTTTTGACATCCTCTATCAAATCATTCCCTCGTTCTCTTCCTGCTTTTTACTATTATTTGTTCTGCCGACTTCGTAATTGATTTTTCCATTTGTTGCCACAGTCTTTCGACATCATTGCTCTGGTCTACTGTATTTAGATGCTGTTTAAGTTCCTGTTTGCAATTTTCTCGGATTTCCTCATTTTGCATTTTCCCAATATTCCACTGTCCCAATGCTTCGTTGACCTTGGGTTTCTCTGAAGATATTCTCAACCTGATTTTTGCTCTTACTATGTGATGGTCTGATAGACACGTGAAAAGATCATAATTGAGTCCCATTTTTGTTCAATTTTGCAATGACTTTGTGATTTTACAATTTTTTATTTTTTTGATCGGTGAACTCATCCGATCATCATCATCATCATCATCCAGCCTCTATTTATCACGTCCACTGCTGGACATAGGCCTCCCCTAAACTCCTCCATTCCTCACGATTTTGTGCTCTTTGTTGCCAATTTTTAGTGATACGCCTGATGTCGTCGGCCCAACGTGTAGGTGGTCTTCCTCTACTGCGTTTGTCTGCTCTTGGCCTCCAATTTGTAATTTTGCTCGTCCATCGTGAATCGTGCATTCTCGCTACATGGCCTGCCCAGTTCCATTTTAGTTCCGCTATGCGATGAGTAAGAACTCATCCGATACGGGGAGTCAAATATGTTTAAAATCGCCTTTAGTAAAGCATTCTGGGTTATAAATAAGTAGTGGTCTTTGTATATTTGTCGCGCGAATTTTAATTTGTAGATATTAAGGATTTATTAGAATTTAATGTAAGTATGTTATTTGTTTATTGATTTTACTTGTTTTAAATAGAGTTCCATATAGTCATCTGCTTATTATTTGTTTATGTTAATATATATATACCTAAGGCGAAAGAGTGAAACCGGCGGTTTTTAGCCTGAACATAAGACATTATCCTCCCTTTCTAATGCCGCCATATGTTATATAGAGGTGATCGTATGTGCAGAAAGCAACAAGTAAATCAAAAAAAGTAAAAACAAAAGACTTTTTATAAGTTCAACAATAGTAGTCAAGATTGCTAATTGTAATTTATAAGAAGTAGACTACATAATAAAAAAGTTTCGATCAATTTATTATTGCCAAGTTTCGATATGGAATTTTACTGAACAACAACAAAAGTGACTTGTATGGCTTTATAAAAAGTAAAAACTACCTAAACTTACCTTACTAACTGGTGGTACGCCGCTTTGTGTGACGTGGCGCTTATCTGATTGGCTAGTTGCTGATTTAGCATCCGCTTCCGGTGCAGTCGCTCTTGAAGTTCTGATATTCGTTTGTCGATTGCACTCATCTCTTCCTGTCTCGCCGTTAAAGCCTCCCGTTGCTGGTGTAGCCTTTGATTTTGTTGCTCGTTTAATTTGTTTCGATACTGAAACAAAAAAATGTGGTTAAAGTCAGTTAATACAGTGCACATAATGAGACAATGACACAGACTGAGTTACAGAGAGAAAGTATTCGAAAAAAAAAAAAGGAATGCAAACTTTTTGGCATGATTAAGTCATGTTAACCCACCACTTAATTTTACAAGTCTAGTATTAAAGAAAGTCCAGAAAAGGATCTGCTGCCTTGATTATGGGTACACCATACAAAGATGACTTAGAAAGTAGTTTGCCAG